CGCACACGGTGCTTTGTCACCACAAGCTCCTCTTTATGCGGAAAGGAAGATACAACCTCCAGCGGAGCAATGTCTTCCTTTAGACGAAATCTGCCAAGTATGCGCAAATTCGGCTTCAAAATTTGAACATCTGAACGGCCATCCCTACCTCCACCACCACTACAGGTAGCAGCCTTTTCCTCTGAAGCGCGCAACTGCAGAGGAGCAGCATCACCAACCGACAAGACACCGTCCACACGACAAACCTCATCGGCGGCGGAAAGTGTGGGCTGCATTTCCTCATACTCCCTTAGCGTCAAACCAGCCCCTCCCACCTGCTCGCTCAATACGGGCGGCACCTCCTCCACAGCAGTCAGCCGCACGGCGCAAGACGCCGCCCCGTGTGAAGGGTCAGAAACGGGTTCTCGCCGCAAAGCACCATTTTCGGTAGGGGCGCTTACACCATATTCATCTTCTGCTTTTCGCGCACCTCCCCGTGGCTCGTACAGCTTCCAGGTCTCCTTGAACTCACACCCCGCAAGGCACCGGTCCACGTCACGCTTCCGAAGCGACGGCGCATGGCGGACACCGAACTCAGCACACAGACTGCCGAGAATAAACTCAGCATCCACCACGGAGCCCCGGGGGATCCCGACCGCACTGCACACGTCCGCGTCAAACGCCTCGCAAAGCGCAGCGCGCTTCTGCTCGACAACAAGGTCCCAGTCATCGCCGTCGAACCGCACACGGTGCTTTGTCACCACAAGCTCCTCTTCATGTGGCGTATGGTCCTCGGTTTCGGCGCCACTAGGAAGCACAACGTCTTGAGCCCTGAGCACGCCTCCCCGTGGCTCGTACAGCTTCCAGGTCTCCTTGAACTCACACCCCGCAAGGCACCGGTCCACGTCACGCTTCCGAAGCGACGGCGCATGGCGGACACCGAACTCAGCACACAGACTGCCGAGAATAAACTCAGCATCCACCACGGAGCCCCGGGGGATCCCGACCGCACTGCACACGTCCGCGTCAAACGCCTCGCAAAGAGCAGCGCGCTTCTGCTCGACAACAAGGTCCCAGTCATCGCCGTCAAGCACCACACGGTGTTTCGTCACCACAAAGTCATCCGTGGACGGTTCACCACTTACCGACTCCAGAGGAGCAAGATCATCTTCTCTAGGGAACCCACCAAGCACACCACGGTTCGGCGACACTACCTTCAAAAACGGGATGGCAGCACCACCCGCCACAGTATTTACTTCCTCTGTTGCGAGCAGCGGCATAGGATCAGCGCCACGGGGCGACAAGGCAAGATCCACAGGATGAACCTTTTCGCTTGCAGAGAGTATGGGTAGCAATTCCACATACTCCCTTAGCGGCAGAAAAGCCTCTTCCCCCTGCGGGCGCAATACAGGGAGAACCTCCTCCACGGCAGTCAGACGCACGGCGCCAGCCGCCTCCTCTGAGAACTGGAGAAGCGGGGTGGCGGCACTGTCAGAATCAACCTCACTGCTGGTGCGCGGCACATCGTCC